ATTTATGTCTGATATTGATAACAAGCTCGATATTTCGAAAGCAAATATCGATGTTTTATTGCACATCGATGTACGTTGAAGTAAAATAAATATTTTCGAATTACGGAGTCCGTACCTTCCTGAAAATTATTTATTGTTCGTAGTGAATTTCTGCCATGCGTTAGTGTCATTTATTGTGATTAGCTAATTTTTCAAGTGAAACTGTGGTAGCAAGTCGCAAACAAGTGCACATATTATAAATTATAAGATACCATTATTGAAATCTTCTGTTAATTGCATTCAAACTTCTATGAAACTATCGATAGTAGCGGTAGGTTCAACTATCGAAAGTTATACTCTAGCAAATTGAGATGGGCATTTTTAGTGCTTTTTGCTTTTTGAAAAGACACAAATGTGAATTTAAAATTAGGATATACTCTTATAATTATTCCCCTTTTTGGCACATAGTCTATTTTAAAAAGTTGCGTTATCTCTATATATATCAAACAGTTTGTCCTGACTGACTGACTGATTGCTGGTCAACGCACAGCCCAAACGGTAAAGCTTAAATTTGGACTCAAGTATCCTTTTATAGCGTAGGTGCCCACTAAAAAAAGTTGAGCTCCAAAGGGGGGAAAACGATCGACCTAAAACTTGGTTTGTAAAATAAATAAAAGAATACAAATAAAACTGCATACTTTATTTTTTGAACTTTTTCTTTGAAACTAATTAGTTAAGGCTTTCATGGGGCACAAAAGAAAATCGCGTCAACAGAAAAGATGTATATAGATGGAAGGTGAAAAGTGCAGTCGAGCTTTAGTATAGCCACGAAGCCGAGCAGTTGCATTGGCCAGGCCTGTACCTGCAGATGTCGCCGAGTACGTCCGCAAATGCCTGTGCTGCCAGCGTTTCCAAGCCCAACAACGACAGGCGGCCGGCAAAATGCACTTCCGGCCAGCGGCAGCAGCGTGGGATGTCATATGCCCCGACTTTGTGGGACCGCGGTCCAAAAGGGGCAACGCATATCTGGTGATGCTTGTAGACAAATTCAGCAAGTGGACGGAGCTGGTCCTAATCCACACCGCAACAGCAGCGGCAGTAAAACTGGCGCTGCGAGAATGAGAACACTTTGGTACGCCGAAACAACTTGTCACTGACAATGGCGCCCAGTTCATGAGCCACACACTGTAACAATTCCTCACGTTGCACTATGGTTTTTTCCCCGTTTTTTTTTTGGCAGAAAGTCAAAAAAAAATTTTGTCCAAATATAAAAAATTTTATTTTTATTTTATTATAAATTGTTTAATTAAGCGAAAATTAAATTAATTCCTGCTGATATGGCAACACCATTTTCTTGGCGCGCAGTCAAAGTTACCTGATTGTGTGAAACACATGTATTTGTGATTTTGGCAGCAATTTTTGGTAAACTTTCAGAGCTTCCAGAATTAAGAAAATAACCCATAAAAGTTAAGTTATATAATGGAAAACGTTAATCAAGGTATGTAAAATTATAATCCAAAACTGTTTTTAAGCGATGAAGTGTGTTCGTGTAATTGTGCCATGTGTTGTTCATGTGCTTTTTTTAAAATTAACCTTTATAAGTTGCGCTGTGTTTCGTGGAATAGTACTTTTGAATAGTTGCAAAAAGTTATAAATGTGGAAATACTAACTAATATATGTTTATTATGGAATTACTAAAGGACTTCGTCCCAATCAGCACGTTTTCTGTAAAATTGCGTTTGTTGCAGCAAAGCTACTGTTTGGGCATGCAAACATTGTTGACATTTGTAGCAGCAACAAAGACTCAGAATACGCATTTAAGCAGAATATATTACAGAAAATTAACGTAAGCATCTTAGTTGAATACAATACTATGTTAATATCGGTAAAAGTAAAATCCTTCTCCAATTATATTAAAAAACACATGCCAAGTTGTAATCAAACTTTAAAGCCATTCAAAAAAAAACACAAGTTGTTTTGCTTTTAACATGATTGTTGATGTTGATGGCGATTTTGAGCCGTGATAGAAAACGCTGTAGTCGAGCAATCCCGACAGCGAAATACCCTGTACCCAGACAAACTTCAAGCACTGAGTTATATACGCCCATAGCGGAAGCAAAAAGAAGAAGATGAGGTTGCTTGATGCTGTGCTTGTGGGTGTAGTACTAGAGTGAAATGTTTTCGCTAATAACTTTTCTAAAAAAGCACCGATTTAATTGAAATTTAAAACAAAGATAGATGATTCTATATAAATTACGTGTGCAAAGTTTTGAAATGTGGACAGTATTAACGAAACTCTGGGGCCTGGAAGAGGGGGGAGGGGGGAAATCAGAAAAATAAAATAAACTCATATTAAATTATTTATATGTTGTGAGCTAAAATATATTGCATGTGAGCAAAACATAGGCCAGTTTCTGGTTCGATACAGTTAAAAGTACTGAAGTTAGTGAAAGTCGGCCATATCGGTTATATGGCAGCTATATATATGAAATAGTGGCCCAAACTGAACCAAACTTGGTATGTCGTCTTGAGGTATCAAAATATGCGTACAAACTAAATTTGGGTTAAATATCTTAATATTTCGAGTTTCTGCCAAAAAAACGGGCAAAAAAACCATAGTGCGTTGATGGGCATTATACAGCAGCTAAGGCGAGTAGTTGCACTGCCAACGAAGTTTTTATAATAAAAGTATTGTAGTTAGGTTTCCCCTAACCCCTCTTCCCCATCGATTCCGCAAGTTGCCCCTGGAGGCAGCATACCATTAAATAAAACGAAGATTGTAACGAGTGGAAAACCAAGTAGAGACCGCCCTTTATTTTGGAGCCTGAAACCGATTAATTTTGCAGTGACTCTGGCAAGCGAGCATACCCGGGCCCGAGCTACGTTACAACTTGACTCAGCAACTCCTACCGTATAATTACCTATATCTCGGAGACTATAAGACCTAGGGACACCAAATTTTAGTCCAAGATGCCTTATGTGAATACGTGTATTTTAGAATTTACCTCCCTCCCCCCTCTCCACCACAATCACTGATTTTTCATAAACTCCCATAATTCCAGGAATTTTTGACTAAAATTGGGCGTATACTTAAACTTTACTTAACCTTTTCATTATGATAAGCCGATTACACCTGAAGTTATAGCCATGTATGTCATCTTGCCCAAGCACTGCCAGCTATTGTTGTAGTTGCTGCTTTGCACTGGCACACGAGACATACACAAACACATACATAGACACGCATAATTATTCTGCACATATGTACAAGGTGTTTCAAAGTCAGAACACCCGACTTTAGCTTCTCCATTTGTTATAGCCTGTACCCAAAGGGTGAAAGGCTATACTAGTTTTGTGCGCATGTATGTAACACACAGAAGGAGGCGTGGCAGACCCCACAAAGTATATATATTCTTCATCAGGATGAGAAGACGAGTCGATATAGCCATGTCCGTCTGACCGTCTGTCTGTATGAGCGCAAGGATCTCAGTAAGTACAAGAGCTAGGATAACCAAAATTGGTATCAAGGTTCCTATAAGCCCTAGGCAGAACGAGTTTGTTTATTTTTTCTGATACACCCCCCCACTCCCCCGCAATTCGTATTTTTTCTTATAACTTCCGTAATTCTCGGAATTTTAAATCCAGTTAGTACTAATGTGTCCGTGTGCCAAATTTCATCATGATAGGTCAACTCTGAAGAAAGTTATAGCCATAAGTAAAATCGCTGCTCATGCGCTGCCTGCAGCTCTGTCGGCAGCGCTGCCCGCAGCTGTTGTTGTTGTTGCTGCTTTGGTTCAACTTTGTGCTGCATACATACACGCATATAAACAAGCATAGGTACGTGATGTAAATGTATGCTGTTAAAACTGAACATAAACATGTATTCTAATTTAATTTAATTAATTATTTTAATTAATTCATTCATTCATTTTTTTTGATAATTTAATTTTTTTTAATTTTTTTTTTTAATTTTTCCTTTTTGTGGAGAATACAGGCTATTTTACTGTCGGGCTTGCTCGACTGTAGCGTTCTATCTTGTTTTTTGTTATGTTGGTACACATATGTTTATCTTATGTTGGCATTATCAGCCAATTTGGATTAGTAGTTTATTTTGACAACTGAAATGGTTAGTCACAATTTTGTATGGATCAAAGAATATGCATTAAATTTTACGTTCAAACCTGAATAAAGTGCTCAAAGGCACTTAATATGTTGATTGTGGCTTTCGGCGAGGCCACTTTGTTTCAAAAAAGTTTTTAAGCGCTTTATAGAAGGCTGAGAATATGTTGATGACGATGAGCGTCCTGGAGTTGTAACCACCTCAACAAGCGACGAAAACATCGAAACAGTGAAAAAAATTATTTTAGAAAATCGTCGAATCACTATTAGGGAAGTTGCAGAGGATGTTGGCATATCAATCAGCTCATGCCATTCAATTTTCTCGAATGTTTTGGGCATGAAACGTGTGACAGCGAAGTTTGCTCCGAAATTGCTCAATTTTGAGCAAAAGCAACGTCGTTGTTCGTGATTTTTTGGCAAAAAACAACGCCGTAATCATACCTCAACCACCTTATTCATCAGATTTGGCTCTCTGTGACTTTTTCCTCTTCCCAAAACTGAAGAGACACATAAAAGGAAAGCGTTCTGCCACAATTGTTGAGATAAATTCAGAATCGAAGAACGAGCGAGAAGAACTGCCATACCGAAAAGTGAATTTCAGAAATGCTTCGAGAATTGGAAGAAGCGGTGGCATAAGTTCATTATATCTAAAGGCATTACAATATAAATGTTTATGAAAAAATACATATTTTTCCAGAAAAATGAAAAGTCACCTTACTTACATTTAACTCTCTAATAACTAAGCTAAAATCGAGTCAATATATATAATTAATGCAACTTTATATGCTTACGGCCCTCGTTGCTATAGCTAAATAAATTAAATTAGCTCATAAATGTATAATAATAATATTAATAATAATAATGATGTAATGTTTATAATGATGTAATTATAATATTATACTTACATATGTACCAAAAATAAATCCATGAAAAGTAATTTTATTTCGCTCGGCATAGGCGAAGACCACATTTCCGATATTGTTTTGAGCCATAAAAAATTTAAATTTAGCAAATCCATTTCTTTTTCCTAAAATAAATTCAAAGTTGTGGTTATTTAAGCTTAATTTATTTAAATCGATGAACACAGTATAACAAGTTCACTAAACTAACTTATTTTGTAAAAACTGACACCAGAAATATGCCAATCGAATCTATTAATAGATATTTTTATTTAAATAAGTTGTTACACCCACAATCTAACTGTTAAATATAGTATATGACCCGTCTTGCTGATTATGCTACCCGGAAAAGCGAGAATGCAAGTAACTCATTTCTACTTATTACGCTTCAAAAGCCTGGTATTGAATTGGCGGCTATGACCGTCGTCATGTACATATCGTTACGTCGTTTCATGCACATAATACTTAGTTATTATTTAAACTGTAAGTTTTTCTTTGGATTATTTTGTGATACCCTGCACGTTCCTTTTCGATGTAATGATCAAAATTCCAAAAAAATTCCCACTTTCAATCTGTCCCTTTCCTACTATTTTATTATTTTATACTATACTAGCAGGTATTGCCCGTCTTAACCCGGCTCAATGTTTCCAATTGTATTTATTTTGTGTGTGAATAACCTACCTTCACCTTATAAGTTACCAGTAGGAAGACATTTAAGGTATTGAAATGAACATTTTCTGTTCTTGACAAAAAATTGTTCAGTAGTCCGTTACATTTTTGTTCTTGCCAAACTATTTCGTTAAACGAACATGACCACTATAACTAATATTTTGTAAAGCTCGTTTTCCCCCCTTTGGAGCTAGAATTTTCCAAAAGCTTTTCTTAGTGTGCTCCTACACTATGATGGATACTATGAAAGGATACTTCAGTCCAAATTTCATCTTTTACCGTTTGGGCTGTGCGTTGATCACCAATTAGTCAGGACAAACTCTTTTATATATAGAGATAACGCAACGTTTTAAGATAGACTATGTGCAAAAAAGGGGAATACTTATAAAGGTATATCCTAATTTTAAATTCACATTTGAGTCTTTTCGTGCCATATTAAGTCAATACGGTTACGCACAAACTCGTGTCAATGCCGTGCAGCGATGAGCCACGATCAAAAAGCACTGACAATTCTCATCTCAATTGGCTAGAGTAAAACTTTCGATAGTTGAAGCCACCGATACCATCAAAATATCGAAGTTTGAAAGCAATAAGCAGAATATTTAAATAATAAAATCTAATTATTTATTGAGATCAATAAGAACAAATCATATACATACATACATACATCTACCCGCAATGTAAACTTTTGGCGTTTTGCCATTGCAATTAACATTAAATGGTTAAAACGAAAGAAGAAGAGCGAGCCAATGACTTGCAGTTGTTGTTGTTTTTAAAGCATTATTTTTTTACAATCAAACAACTGTGTTCGATTGCCCAATGTATACATTAATACGAATGTACATACATGCTATATTCATACACAGGCATACATACATATGTACATATGTTTCTCTTTACTTTTTCAACCGCACGTAGAGAACCGCTCACATAGACACGAACTGTTGCTTGTTGTGTGTGTGAGTGTGTGTATGTAATGTCCCCAACTATTTGATATTTGTTGTTGCTGCATAAAGTTATTAATGAAAACCCTAATGCCAAATGCACTAAACAAAGAAAAAATTACTTTTAAAAATGTTATATTATATAATTTTCAATTAATTAACATTTCTTGCTCTGTCAGTGCAAGACGAATGTACAAACATACATACATATGTAGATACATATGTACATTCATAGTTGTGCACATATGTATGGACATTCACACATTAGTGTCTCACATGTTGCTTTGGCTATTTCAATCGTTTGCACGCAACTACACGAACAGCTGCTTGCATGTGTGTGTGTGTGTATGTATATTTAGTTGTCCCCAACTGTTTGATATTTTGTATTGTTTGTTCTGCCTGCTTTTGTAAAATGCATATTTTGAAAATCCTTGAATGCAAAGTTGTAGATTTAGTTACGTAGATTACATTACCCAAATTTTAAATCGATCGGACTAAATTTTTAACACAAATTTTTCATTTGAAATAGTGAATAAATATTAAAACCCCAATAATTCAAGCTCCAACAAACAATTTAAAAAACCGAGTATGCAGTTTCTTTTTTGTATTCTTTAATTGATTTTATAAACTAAGTTTTAAGTCGATCGGTTGAAAAATTCGGATTTTTCAAACAAACTTTGGACCTAGAGTTCCCCCCTTTGGAGCTCGAATTTTCCAAAAACCTTTCTTAGTGAGCACCTACATTATGACAGGATACTTGGGCCTAAATTTCAGTTTCCTTACTTTTACCGTTTGGGCTGTGGGATGTTTGTGTTTCAATTTTTCCACGGAAAACCCCCCCTTTTTCATGCCCCAGGAAAAATGGTGTAAAACCAAGAATACAGTTTTTCTTGTTTTCTTTGTGAGAGTATACAAACTAAGTTTGAAGTTAATCGGATAAAAATTGTAGATTTTTCATACAAACGCTGGAGCTCGTTTTCCCCTCTTTGGAGCTCGAATTTTACGAAACACCTTCTTAGTTCTCACTTTCACTATAAGAGGGATCTTGTGTCCAAATTTCAGCTTCCTGAATTTGTTTTTTTTTTTTTTTATGTTTGTTACCTTGGTACACTCGACTGGGTGAACTGTTTTTAATGGTTCTTATACCATTTGAAAGCTGTATTAAGTATGTGCAAGACAAATGAACGAATAACTTTATATCACGATAACCGATTTCGATGATTCTTTTTTTTATTGGAAAGGATGTACTTTAAGGGTACTTTGATGAGAGTTTGGTTAGGTTCTGCAAACGAGGACGTTCTCAATTCGACTGTATTGTTCATTGTTACCTCAGAACTTTAGACAGTGTAAACCGATTCAAATGATTCCTTTTGTATTTGAAAGCTGACGATTCCCATGTGGTCCCATTTCAATTTAGTCCAATTCTGACAATGGCATCCATGAGAAATCCATATAATTCTTAAAACATACAAAATGTTCATGGGTTTTAGATATCATGCGAAGGCACCCGGTAGATGAGTGTCAAATTTAAATGAGATATCATGTTAAATAGAATTTTAATTTCAGTATAATGCCGTCGAAAAAATCTAACCGTAACAATGCGTGTAGCAAAAATACACGACCCCAGCGTTCAAAAAGCTTTAAAGTCAGAAGAACAAACTGCAACAAGAGCCGCAACTCAACAAATCAGAACAGAAGATATTCGCAGGCGACAGACAGACAGTGTGATGAACGTTTTCGACAAAATATATTGACAACAAGAGTGGCGCTCTCTCATATGAGATACACGTTTATTAGGTCTACCTATATTCATACACATTAGTTAGTGTACTTTACATTCACTAAAAATCCAAAAATAAACAACAATTTAAACAAAAAAAACCGATTTCAAACTATTAACAGGCATTAAAAAGTAAAAAATAATTGCTTATTCTTCTACAAATTAATATTCAATATATAATGTAGATACAATTATTGTTATTTTTAGAGTCGGTGTCAGCGGTCGCGCGCCGCGCCAGTCAAGAGAAAGAGGCCCTTCTTTACCCTGTACCCGTAGGGTAAAAAGAATTTTTAGAATGAAAAGGCTGTTTTTGACGGGAAGGACAATAAAATAAAGCGAAAATTGTTAAAAGACAAATTTGTTAAATGTTTCCAATGGGATAGTGTGTACCCAAGTTGGTTGCTAGATTATTAAGTCGCCATAAAGTGTCCCGAATGCAATTAGCTAGAAAGAACATGGAAACAAACTGGTAAAAGGTAAAAAAAATTTTAAAGCAATATCTTTAATGATTTACAAGGTGGGATCCAAAGTAAACACGACGGGAGAGATGGATAGGGGGAGAGGGGTGAGGAAGTGGGTGAAGGGAGGGAGAAGGGTGAGGTAAGTTGGCAGGGGAGGGAGGGAAATTCCAAAGTACACATTTTCTGCGTATTCACATAATGCATCTAGGACCAAAACTTATGTCCCTAGGACTTATAGTGTCTGAGATATAGGCGATTATACTAATGAAAAATCGGGAAAACCCCCATAGGGGGGAGTGGATGGAAATCAAAAAATAAGACAAACAAACATATAGGGCGCGTCTTTGTGCAAAATTTGGTGTCTCGCAAATCATGATTTTCTCTAACTCCTGTAATTCCTGGAATTTCAAATACTCCCCAGTTAGTGCATATGTGTCCGTATGCCAAGTCTTATTATGATAGACCGATTTAACAAGAAGTTAAAGCTATAAATATATTTGCTGCCCAAGCTAAAATGAAATGATGGGTGGTAGAAGGTCTAAGATAGACCCCCAAAGCGAGAAAGCGGACGGACCGAGTCAGGTGCGGCTGACTTGATCACCTAACCAAAGCGTGTCAAGGAGACCCACACAGTTTGCTTTGTAGGAACGACCCAAATGCCTACGCCAGACATGTCACAGGAGGGTCTAAATGCCCCCTCTACATAACAGCCGGACAGAGCGCTCTGAACAAACAGAAATCAGAGTCCTACAATTGATTCTAAACCACTGCGAGGCGGCTGCTAAAGGAGACAGTGGGTGAATAAAACATCGACCTAGCACTACAGAGCGGTTGACCCGCAACGATGAACCACTAGCGGATGCAATAAGGCATCGATATGGAGTGTGGAAAAAGCCCAGTCAACGGAATAATGTTTTACAGCTGTTACTACCCCCCAGCATGCCGTTAGAGACCTACAGACAAGCACTTGCAAATCTTGTTAGGAATGCGAAAGACAGTCGAATGGGGTTCGACCCGTACTAACCACAAGGGAGAATACCTTCTCGAGGATATCTCACCCTTGGATGTGTCATTACTCAACTGCGGAGAAAAGGACACCTTTTCCAGAGGAAGGAGAAGTTCGAAGATCGACCCAACCTTCATCAGTTCTGCATTATTATCCTCCACGGGCTGACACGACCACCAGGCAATCATATTCAGGATCCACACACGCCCTACACACATAAACTACTCGGAAATATAAAGGAGTGGACCCAAAGGAGACATGGGCAGGT